TATTATTATTGCAGGGAATATCCTTTCAAGAGACGGTGAAATTCTTTTCTTTTTAGAATGACGACAGTCAAGTTACCTTGGAATTCCAGATTGATGTACATCATTTTCGTGATTACTGACGTTAATTCACATTTCATAGGTTTTGACTGTTGGTTCTTATCTATAAAAGGTGGTGGAAATCTATCTTCCATTAAGATTTTTCCTAGAAGACTTCATTAACTCTTGCTTCTACTACTACTATATACTGTGGATGCGGGTAGCAAATGATCGGATCAGATTTTGTTTTCTACCAATGGGTACCGAACTGTAGAAATTTGTCTGTTGACCACTGCGTGAAAGCTTTCTATAAATTGATCTCTTCAGAGTTCCATCGGCCCTGCTTGATATGTTTATATTGAAGAAAATGAATACTAGACTCGTTCTTCATTTTGATTGAGAATTTTTCACCGCTGGATGATAATAATAATAATATTCAAGTGTTGGTTTGTAGGGATTTGATTGGTTTCACGATTTCATCATGAGCAGATGAATTGGCAGAAGTTAGAATTCAAGGACCATTGGATTGGGTCTCATTGGCTTAATAGAATACGAGCTCGCCTTGTAACCGGAAGGTCCTGGGTTCGAATCCCGGTGGGTGCGTACTGCTGAAGAGTCCCAAACTAGGACGGAACAGCTGTCCAGGATTCCCAGGTTTTCCAATGGTGCTCTAACCAATGTCAGCTGATGATGAAATCGTGAAATAATAATAATAATTTGCTTTATTCCAAAACAGTACTTGTGATACTGTTATAACTGTAGGGAATTGAATGATAGACGTTTTCACCTTGTTCTGTCTGCGCCTGAACTTATCTGCCTATCGGCTTGTCGTACCTTCCGATTTAGTAAAGCACGCAAATATCAAAAGACAAAGGCTGGACTGTGACTGTGTATTGAAGTGCAACAACGACAAAGAAAGCCATGGTATTTATACATTTTACAACAATATGTACAGCTAACAGCATTTGAAATAATTGATCTTAATAGCCAATAACAAAGTGCGTGAGAGATAATAATATACCATATGTGCGAGATTGACAGTCAATAACAAAGTGTGTGGGAATGATAATATACCATATATGCAAGATTAACAGTCAATACCAAAATGTGTGGGATCCTATCAGATACAGAATGAAATTCTCAGCATTGCATCCAGATTTTACATATAGTTTTCTCTATATAGGCTTCTGGTTCTCCCTGATGACATAGATACAAGCGGAGAGTTATGAATGAAGAAGGTGGTGTGAGTTAGATAGATAAAATGGATTTATCCCATTTTTCACATGAGTCCATGTGTCTGTCAACCAGAATATTAACAAGCTGGTTAGGTGGCACGTTGCTTACCCTTCTGATAACCTTTAACACCCTACGTAGTAAGATATAGTCCTTCATCAGTAGCCCAGGGAAAACTAAGGTGGAACAATAGAGAATAATAGGCAGAATGCGAGAGTTAATGAACTGTAGGAGTAAGGGTTGGGTTATTTTAGAATGTCTTATATAGTTATATAGTTTTCCAGTCGACCATATTATTATTCCATAACCTGAAGGGCAACATCCCACATTTGACTAAATCTACGTGTTTATCAATTCACCTGCTCTTGTAAAGCTAAGTATGTCAGTTGTTCGATGCAAGTTTCGTCCGAAAGGGTGCAAGAACACATCACATCATGCATAGATGGATATGAAGAGATGGGACTGGAGTTATAAAAAGTGAAATCACTCAATATCTGGCCGCTACTACTACTACTCAACCAACCTAGTTCTATAGCCTACGCCTTGAAAGTCATCTACAGAGACGGAAAATAATTTGCCCAATTCATTATGTATCCAACTCATCTATATTGCTGAAGCCTTTGCCATCGAAACAGAAAAGCTGAATCTCTGTATACTAAAGTTTGACCATACCCACTCCATATTTTGACTCTGCTTATTTTTCGTTTTGTTCATTCAATTTGTATATCCTCACCTGATGATTATTATGCCCACTGTTAGTAATTTATTCTTACTTTGAATCGTCTCCGCTTTCATTTCATTCGTCCCAATTCGCTTTTTTTTCATTCCATCACGTTCCCAGTGGAATAGAGGGTTTCAAGCTACAGGCTTGAAGTTTCTGTAGCGATGATGTTTATTTTTACAGGATGGAGTTGCTAGCCTCCTCATGCCCAACCTTCCCTCTCTACCAGTCTTATTACTGGCTTAGCGAGGTAAAGGAGTATGCCAGCCGGGGATCGAACTCCGGACCATGTGCATGGTCGGCGAGCATCCGAACCGTTGCACCACTGACGCACTTCTCAGTTTACATCAATTTTGATTTTCACAGTATTGAATTCTATCCTATCAAATTTCACACCCTCTTATGTAACGCTTTGATTTGAATACTAAGACAATAATTTCACACACACCCCTCTTTCAACATCTACACATCCTACGAATAATTCCACATATCAAGTGTTGGTTTCTAGGGATTTCATTGACTCCAAGATTGATCACGAGCGACATCAGTTAGAGAATCATTGGAAAACCAGAAAGGAGTACTGAAAAGCCATATCTTTCGTCTTGGTTCGGGACTCTTCAGCAGTATGCGCCCACTGGGATCTCAACAACCTAGGACCTTCCAGTTACAAGCAAACCAGCTTGTACACTATTCAACCATTGGGACCCGATTCAGTGGTCAGCCCAGAACTACTCAAAGACGAGGATGTATATTCAAAAACTCCCAACAAATCCCATAGAAACAGTGGACAACCGCATCCAAAGGACCTTAAACAAGCTCACCAAAACTTGACAGATCACAAAACAAGACAAATGGTGAATGAAATCCAATGAACCAGTCCTACCCCGATTCTACGGCAGACACAAAATACACAAGCCAAATATCCCGTTACGACCAATTGTATCACTTCCAAGAACAGAAGACTAAAACACCTTACGGAATCTTGTAATCACTCCATTGACTCTGCTAACCGATTCCTAGAGAAAATCAGAGGTATCCAAATAGATGAACAAGAAATCATGACATACTTCGACGTCACAGCATTATATACCTCAATCGGACAAAAACTAACAAAAGAAACCACCTTCCACAACAATCAAAAATGCAACACACAAGCTGGATGGAATGCATAAACCTATGCCTAACAACATACTTCCAATTCAACGGCCAAATATATGAACAAGTCAAAGGAACACCCATGAGATCGCCAATATCAGGTTTGATTGCAGAAGCAGTGATGCAAAGGCTCGAAAACATAATTCTACCAAAGATCAAACCCATGATTTGGATACGCTACGTCGACGACACATTTTGTAATAATCAAAAGAAACGAACCAAGTTAGATAAAACTCACAACTTAATAAACAACGTCTTCAACGACATCAAATTCACAAGAGAGGAGGGGAATCCGAGAACTAAATCCCATTTTTGGACGTCTTAGTCAAGCGAACCACCACAGGGGAATTAGAAACTCAAGTTTATAGAAAATCAAATCACACAGACCAAATCCTGCATTACTACAACAGCAACAATCCAATAACACACAAGAGGAATTGCATACAAACACTATTCAAGAGGGCCAACCAGGACTCACTGCAGCACTCCCACCTTAAGGAAAATTGAAGAAAAATATCTCACGGGCGCCAGTCTTCCAAAAGAATGGATAGATATCCACGGAATTTCATCAAAAGACATACCTATCACCAAGCCAACCTATCAAACCAAAAGCTCCAACCAAGGAAAGCACAAAGAAAATCACCTTACCATATATAAAGGGTATCTCAGAAATCACTGCAAGCAAGACGCTTCAAACCTTTAGGAATCGACGCCTCACACAAACTAACAAAGTCATTTCACTCAGCTGGTTTTGTGTCAACCAAAACACCCAACAACGAAAGCAGATAAAGCCAACATCATCTACAAAATAAATTGTAATAACTCCGAAAAACACTACATTGGCCAAAGTGGACGCCCTTACCCTTCGTCTTCGTATCCACGATCATAAGCTAGCCGTCAAAAGACATGATATCCACTCCATCACTCATATCACTACATACAGACAACCAAAGACATCAATTCGACTGGGACAACCAAACCAACGTTCAAATATTAGACAGAGGAAACAACAAGAATGATAGAGAATGGTTTTAGAAGCCTACCTCGTATTCCAGTGAATCATCAATCAACAGACACATCGAGATAGACAAAATTGATCAACCGATAAGAAAGAAAACTCATACACAAAAAGTCAAAGTTCAAGTCAAAGAAACAATCAGTTCCAATACAAATAGCCTAGAAGGTGTGAAAACACACAAAAGCGACCAATCACGTCCAAGGTCCAGTCACCAGGAGAGATGATTAATAAACTCGTGGAGAAATCTAAAAGCTCACTTCAACAACTTGAAGTAGTAAGCGCTGAAGTGACGATGTTTCCTAGTAGGGCGATGGAGGCTTTGCAAATTAACTATCCAGCTCAAAGAACACAACCACATCAAAATCAACCACCCGAGCTACAAATCTTCTCTATCAAATCCAAAATAATTCTTGAAAAACTATTTGTTTTGTCACTTGACATTCAACTACGATTATAATCGCAAATATTTTAGTTGCATTCCGCACAACAACAACTACTACTATTATTATTTTATGTAATCAAATTATGGATTCAATTCCCCCCCCCCCCAATGGATATCATTTCTTAGAACAAAAAAGCACCAGAAATACAAAGGATAGTTGGTATATTTCAACAAGGTGGTAAGCAATTCACAAAATTGTACTATTGAAATAAAGTATGAAATACCTTCACAGAATGGAACTGAAAAACAAAACCTCAGAGAGTAAATCGTTGACGGTGATAATGGTGATGAGGATTATGATATTTCATTATGTACACACGTAGAAAATAAATAAACTCCAAAAGGGTTATATAAATTCTTTTTTGTGTTTTCTGTTGTTTTTTTTTAAATATTAACTAACGTCTTTTACGCTTCGTGTCATGATCATACACCTCTCCATCACTTGTACTGTCCAACTCTTCACCGTCTTCAGGATCCGAGGTGCGTGATGGACGTTGTCCACCACCTCCACCGTGTCGATGACGACGTTGACGTTTACCATTACTACTATCACCACCACCGCCGCCAGCAGCTATTGCTTCAGGATTAGCAGCAGAACCAGCTTCTTCCTCACCATCATCCTCCTCATCATCGTCGTCAGCAGCTTCGCCTTCTTCTAATTCATCATCTTGACGTTTGTCATTGCCTTTACGGTGTTTATGATGTTTTGATTTACGATGATGTTTTGATTTTTTCGATTTACGATGTTTACGCTTTTGTGAGGCACGTTTATCATCATCATCATCATCTGATTTTTGAGCACGACTATCGTTTGAAGGAGCAGGGGAAGGGGATACAGTTTGTTTTTTCTTTTGATCCACGTCCTTTTCAATATTTTGATTGGTTGAAGCAGACCTGTATGAGAAGGAAGAAACAGGCATACATTAAACAAAATGACCTGTGAAGTTTCAGCTTTCTTTATTACATCAGAAACAATAAAATTAATAATAATTATTATAATTATTATAAAATAAACCAGTCAACCAAAGCCCTACAAACCAATACTTGAATATCAATGAGATGCTGACTAGCGACTTGCCCCATTCAGGTAGGTAGTTGTTACCTGGGCCTCCAGTGAGACGTCGTGACCACTAGGGTGCAGCAGGTCGGGAGTGAGGACAAGTACTCGCCGAAGACATTGGCGACATGGCGGTCGCGCTATATCGTGAATTGGCAGAAGTTGGAATTCATGTCAACTGGATCGGGTCCCAGTGGCTTAAAAGTCTACGGGCCTTGTAACCAGAAGGTCCTCGGTACAAACCCCGGTGGGTGCGTACTGTTGAAGAGTCCAAACTACGACGAAACAGCTGTTGGGTACTTTTAATTTTTCCAATGGTTCTCTAACCAATGTCAACTCCTGATGAAATCCTGTAACCAATAAAATTAATTTTTGTACAATTTCTCCGATAAAAAGAACCGATGACAAGAAAAAGAATTTCAGTGAATACCCCATTATGGATAAGATTTTATTTTGATAAGTCTCACAGTGTTGTACAGTAGCATTAACTGATGACGTTTCGAGGACAAATTATTGCCACTCATAATCATATCAAGTTCAGTGAATACCTTCAAATATTTTTTTTCCTGATATGATTCTACCACGAATTGATCTCTTCAAAAACAAACAACAACCTCCTTTTATTCACACGCATGCAGCTTAAAAGTTAATGCCCATTTTCTAACGTGATAGTGTGATGATGTGATACAGATAATGTCTGGCCAATGGAATATTATTCTCACATATTCCCACAGTTCAATACGGATGGCATTAGCAACAGCATACGATATACCTATTTGGACATTCTGTTTGTCTCTAGAGTCGGAATATTATTCCCACGGTTATATACTGTATTGACAAAAGAATACCCGTCTGTCTGTTTTCAACATAGAACTTTGCAATGATGTGCGGTAGTTCAAGTCGCCACACTCCATGTAGCACACAAATCAAGAGAAGAAAGTACAAGAAAAGCATAATAGAGACAGTAAGCAGAGGTATGAGACAAAGGGAGAGAAATAACGAAGAACAAAACAGTTTCATTGGTGGAGATCATAAGTCACAAGGAGTGGAGGCATCTGCGCCACTGAGAACGATTTTGAGCCATGTCACCAATTGTTTCCAACCATTGGTTTTTACCGTCTTGAAGACCCCAGCCTGGAAGTCTACACTTTCCTACGTGGCTTAGACTAACAGAGATTAGAGACAGTACACAGAGGTATGAGACAAAAAGAATAGTAATAACGAAGAACAATATGCTTTCATTGGAAATCATAAGTCATAATGAGTGGATGCACCTGTGCCAACCAGCCATTGAGAACGATTTTGAGCAATATCACCAATTATCTCTAGCCTTCAGTGGTTTTTACCGTCCCAAGGACCCCAACCAGCCAGTCAGGAAGTCTACACCTTCCTACGTGAATGGCTGGTTGGCTTAAACTAACTGTTGTGGATTTCATTGACTGGTGAAGCCACGTTTTGGTTTGACCATCATTCATTAGCTATTTTCCAGTGTGATCCATCCTATGTCAGCTAACGTTTCCTGTTGTCGAGGTAGGCGATGACTAGGCAAGGCATACGTAACACATGTCCTAACCATCTCAGTCGATATAATTTCACAGCCTCGTCGATTGATTTCCCTTCCTACCTACCTGTCGGAGCTTAAGAATTTAGCTAAGGTAAGAATGGTTGACCCCGAGAAGATAAGTAATTCAGAAGAAAGCTCAGCAATTGCACTACATGCGTCAACGCACAACGATACAATAGGGTGGGTGAGACAGAGTCAAAACTCTAAAGTGTAATATAGATAGGTGGAGAGAGATTGACTACTGAACAATCCTGGTTCATTGAGTCTACACCCAACACATGCAATAGGAATTGACTTAATGCAAATACCAGAAATATGGAAGATATTATTACCACCAGTCAGTCAAATCAGAGGAAAATAATAAATAATCTTAAAATTATATTTCAATTCAGTTCACGTACATCACAACATTCTAACAAGTTACTTATTTCTCTTACTATAAAAACACTCGTCTAATTTCCCATCTGATTATAATTGATCAATGACTATCGACCAAAGGGCGGGTGTACTGCTCATCAGTCCTCTCCGTCCTCCTTTATCGTTGTGAGACCTGGCCACTGAGAGTGGAAGACATGAAAAGACTAGCTGTCTTTGATCATAGGTGCCTGCGTTCTATTTCCCGTGTAAAGTGGCATAATAAGGTGAGCAACATTGAGGTTAGGCGTCGAGTTCTAGGTAAACAGGGGAAATCAATCGACGAAGTCGTAAAGTTACAAAAACTGAGATGGTTAGGACATGTGTTACGTATGCCAAGCCATCGCCTCCCTCGACGAGCAATGTTAGCGGATATAGGGTCAGGCTGGAAAAAAGCTAGCGGCGGTAAAAACTTGGCACCAGTCAATGAAATCCACAACAGTTAGTCTAAGCCATGTAGCAAGGTGTAGACTTCCTGACTGGTTGGGGTCCTCGGGACGGTAAAAATCTATGGTTGGAAACAATTGGTGACATGGCTCAAAATCATTCTCAGTGGCTGGCGCAGATGCATCACCACTCCTTGTGACTTATGATCTCCACCAATGAAACTGTTTTGTTCTTCGTTATTACTATCCCTTTGTCTCACACCTCTGCTCACTGTTTCTATTATGCTTTTCTTGTACTTTCTTCTCTTGCTTCGCGTGCTACACGGAGTGTGGCGACTTGAACTTCCGCACATTTGTGCAGAGTTCTATGTCGAAAACAGACAGACAAAATTGATCAATAACACTCATATTATTATTATTTCTGAATGTACATTATCTCATAGTGATTTTTATTCAGATATCTAGTCAACTCCAAGCATGTATATAAATGAAGTAAGAAACAGTTGTGTGAGTAAGAGCCTTGATATGATTATGAGTGGCAATAATTTTTGCTTGAAACGTGTTCATCACTTAATATTACTGTAGAGCACTGTGTGACACTTTATCATAATAAAATCTTATCTTTAACTCACCTCCAACCATATCTTATGCCAGATAACACTAATCGATACCGGAAACGACTAATCTTCCCCGTCTACTTAACACTCGACCCTTAACTTCCTTATTTCTGACTATTACTATAGCACTCACTTAGCGAGAGAGAGATAGAGCACCAACATTTTCAGTGAATGACTAGCTAGGCCTAATCATATTTTCCACTTTCAATGATCATGTGTCTCTCAGTTATAAACAAAGAAAATAGATAGTAGCAGACTGCTGAACAGTACAAACATTCATTGATCGACAGCTGGAAATCATTACAGAAATAGAGATAGTATAGTACAACACAGCTACAAAAGTATAGTACATACAGTATTTAACTTACTCTTCGTGTCGATGTTTATCCTTACGAGAACGATGATTATCTTCATTGAATGAATTGTCGATTGACATTATGTATTCTTTGAAAAGTCGAATTTTTTCAGATTCCAATGACATACCCTAAAAACGTGTATTGTGTACATTAAAAGAACATATTAAATATAAGGCATACAGAGGAATACTGCCCTGCATTATGAAGTATTATTGTATAATAAAACTGCACACTGATCGATCATTACACTAGTCCTTATTGGTAGTACTGACTGGAATTCTACCAGTCAGTTGGCACTTACCGAATTCATACAATCTGAATATCGATCGACAGATCACACTGGGTGGGGATTTCCTGAAACTACTACAGTAGGAAGTTGTGACCAGTGGCATTCATTCATCACCATGTCAAGGGCTACTGAATTCTGACCCAAACGGCTGAACAGTTAATTAGTTAACAGGTTTGATCTGTTAACTTGAAGGTATCGGGTTCTCTCCTTGGTGGGGTTGTGGATAACTCCTGTGCTGAAGACTGCCGAAATACAACGAAACAGCTGTCCAATGCTCCTGGCTGGTTTTCAATGATTTCTCTCTCTCTCTCTCTAAATGATGTTGATTCATGGAGAAAATCTAACAACTGAAATAATCAAATTGAAGAAAATTCGCCATTGTGATGAATTTTTGGCATTAGTGTTAGATATAGTTGGAAATAATTTGTGTTCAGAAGCAGGTCAGGTGTGAGGACAAATACTCACCGAAGACATTGGCTAGTGGTCGTGCTACGTCGTGAATTGGCAGAAGTTAGAATTTATGGACTGGCTATTGGATCGGGTCCCAGTGGCTTAATGGTCTACGAGCTAACTAGCCTTGTAACCAGGAGGTCCTGAGTTCGAACCCCGGTGAGTGAGTACTGATGAGGAGTCCAAACTAGGACGAAACAGCTGTCCAGGACTCCCAGGTGGTTTTCCAATTGCTATCTAACCAATGTCAGCTCATGATGATGACGTAACCAACCAAATCCCTACACCAACCAACACTTGAATTTGTGTTCGACCAACTAAACACGCAATCCATGGTTCGATTCCTAGCCAACACAATACCAGACCTCTCAGCCAGTTTACTAGACGGTGGTATATCTGGAAAAGACGGGAGGTCGGATGTAAGGCTATATTAACCCTACTCTATAAAAAGTAACACAACAACAGCGAAAGAGCTACTGAAACTTTAAATGTTCGATGCCCGAATGTTCCTTTAGAAATGCAAACGCGAATGAAAACAAACAATTCACTTTGCATTATAGCTTACAACTAAATGTTATGTGAACTATTATCAACTGTTCGCTTTTTGAAAGGATGTACATTCTAAAGTGATTTCATTTTCTACACAGCTCAGTTTAAATAATCACAAATTAGAATAGTTAACTTATTTTTTCAAGAATTATTTTCTTTCGAGTTTGATCACCGACTGATATCAGTTAGAGAACCATTGGAAACCAGCAGAGAGTACTGGACAGTCATCTCCTCCTAGTTGGGGACTCTTCAGAAGCATACACCCACTGGGGTTCGGACTCTAGACCACCAAGTTACAAGGCATGCTCGCGGAGCATTCTCAGTCACTGAGAGAGTCGATTCAATGGCCCAAGAATTCTATCTGTCTATGTTTGTTTTCAAAATATAACTTTGCACCAATGTGCAGCAGTTCAAGCCACCTGCGCAAGGATGACACGCAAAATCGTGAAGTGTTCCATATTTCTTTCCCGACCGATAGCTGCTACCTTGACGTGGTGGTCGCTAAGCTTGCACATCGCGATGACCCAACAAGCTGCACTGGCTGGAACCAATGTTCCTGCAGGTCCTACCATGCCAGAAAGGTTGTTAGGATAGCAATTAGACTAAAAGCAGTTACCGGCATTGTGTAAGAATCTGAGGGGTCTGAGGGCGAAGTCGTACCGCTGGGGAACAGGGATGTAACAACCACAGTAAGGTGTTTTCCTCAGATGATGACCAGCATACCAGCCAGATATGTTGTCTCTCCATTCTGGAGGGAGGGAGGGGGTTAGAAAAGGTCGACCCCAAAAATTGTACATCTCGACTTGCCTCACCTATGGTGGTCCGTAACCGGCGGTAAGTTTACTAATACGGAACCAAACCAAGAAACAAGTTCATACAGGTCGTGTTTGACTGGTCGGCCTTAAGCAGTTGTACCCTGGGCCTCTTTCTGTTTCAGGTACCCGAAGAATCAATCAACTCCACAGTGGTGTGGGTAGTCGGAAAGTAAAAACCGCCCACACACACCCAAAAGCACACGAAGCCTTCCTGAGCATCATTCTCCGTTACTCACATCACCTTCCTCATTTGCTTCTCTACGACAGTTAGTACTGTTCTGCAGGCTAGTGAGTCATCTTCACTTTACTCTGTGACCACAAACAACAGTAAGAGCCATAGAAACACCCCAGATAGCCTTTTGGTGATATGGCTCAAAGTGATCGTTTTCAATGGCTGGCGCAAATGCATCCACTCATTGTGACTTGTTATTTCCAATGAAACTGTTTTGTTCTTCGTTACTACTATTCCTTTGTCTCACACCTCTGTTTACTGTCTCTATTATGCATTTCTTCTACTTTCTTCTCCTGCTTTGTGTGCTGTATGGAGGGAGTGTGGCGACTTGAACTGGTGCACACCGGTGCAAAGTTCTATGTCGAAAACAGACAGGCAGACAGACAATCAAAAGTTCCCAACACACACACACATACATATACAAGATAGACGAATGTACGAATAGGATAATAAGCTTACCTTAAAGGCAGGATGATCACCCAACTTCTCGCGAACTTCTTCCCAACTAGTAGTTGGTTGAATGAAATTCGATGCGGAGAGCATTTCACAGAAATTCTGTTCCAACTTTCGCATACGCCTAGCATCGTCTCTTTGACGTTCACGTTCCCGACTTTGAGCTTTTTCTAATAAACTATCATATGCCAAACGTAGGTTGCCATCATCGATTCCTTTACTTCGTTCATCTGCAGTTATCATCTAAAATAGATATATGTAATGAGACTTTATAATCATTACAACGTATAAATGACCGCGAAGTAATTTGGTAACTACTCGAGTACTACGGCGTACAGTGCCCCAAATATTCCTCAACCTTATTCAACAGCTGCTGTACGACAACGGCACATGCCAAGTGATTCACAACGGAAAACTCAGCGAGACGTTTGAAGTAAACACAGGAGTCAGACAAGGGTGCTTATTATCACCAATGACATTCCTAATTGTGGTGGACTGACTGGATTGTGCGTCAGACAGTGAGTGGGAAACGAGAAGACAGGGAGGGATATCCTGGACCGACATGAAGACCGACCTAGAAGACCTGGATTTCGCGCGTGGATAATTTATGTTTGATGTCACACAAAATCGAAGACTTACAAGCGAAAACCAACAAACTAGTCGAAGAAGCAGCCGGCGAAGACAGGACTCCAGACGAACATAGACAAGACGGAGGTTGTGAAAATAACCAACCGACAACAACAACAACAGCAGAAAAATCCAGTGCCAATCACTATCAACGGGAGGGATTTGAAAGAGGTTACTTCATTCATTCACTTATCTAGCATTGAGCATTCTTCAGCTACAGAAGGAACGGATGAGGATGTCAAGAGAATCGAGAATTGGGAAGGCGAGCGAGAAACACATTCATCATCAACCTGAAACCAATCTGGAAATCTTCGTCACTCAGCCAACATCAACAACAAAATTCGGTCGAATTTTCAATTCAAACGTGGTCAAGTCAGTCAGTTGGTCGTCAGTGCAAGGATGACATGGAGGAGATCGTGTGAAGAGGAGTTGGTTGAAACAGTCTGGACTAACATGGATGCAGGTGAAAAGTACAGGAGAAGACAGAGCAACGGGAGACGTGCAGTTGAAGCCCTATGTTCCACTAGAACCCAAGGGAACAATAAAAATAATAATATACACGAATAAGAAGAAGAATGATAGAACTCATTAATTTAGGACAGGCTTATGTTAATACGCTATATAAGCCATACACACTAAAGACACGCCGATAACTGCGTCCGTGGTTTAGTGATGGAATGCTTGCTAGCACACACACACACACACATCGTATGGGTCCGACTCTCAGTCAATGGACGCACTCCTAAACGTCACTTTGCCGACAGTAAGTCAGGCAAAGACAAAAGGTTTGGTGTATGAGGCGAGTAACTTTACCAAGGAAAGAAAAACCATACCACCGCAGGCCCAAGCTTGAAGCCCCTATTTTACCACTCGAGATGCAAAGGAATAAGAAAGAGAAGGGTACATTATACAAGCTATTCGCCAAGGTTGAAGTAGATAGGGTAAGGTGTGAACATCTCCAGAAGGGTTACGTCGGCTGTAATGCCTAGCGAATGCAAGAGAGGTTGATGACGAAATTCCGAAATAGGATACCATTTGACTGAACACCAGATAGTAACTAACGTCGTGTGTTTAGTCCTTCGTTTCGTGTAACTGAATAGTGGTCACACTGTAAACTTGACTGACAGAATTCAGTCTGTACCGAACGAAGGAGATTAGATGCATGATATTAGTTACTGCCTAGTGTCCAACCAAAGCATAAATAAATAAATAAACCGTGAGTCTGAATAACTCAGTGGTAACGTCTCTGACTGTGGATCAGGGTGATACGGGTTCGAATCCCAACCCAAAGGAGACATAAGTTCCCTCAATATGGTAGATACGTTTGGTGAAGAGTTGCCTACAAGGTTTCCTTTCAACTGCCTCCAACCATCTGACGACAATAAGATTCCCAAAATATGAAACATATACACAACTAACACGATATATTCAAAGAGAATACTTCGTCTTATAATTGGAGTGTCCTGGTGCGAACCCCGGGGTTGCATACTGATGAGGAGTACCAAACAAGGAAGAAACGACCGTCCAGTACTCCAAGGCTTTCTAATGGTTGTCTAACTAATATTAATCCGTGATCCGACTTCAAACAAATAGAATTCCTACAAACTAATTCTTGAAAAACTACATTGAAATACTCTAAACGAAATTGTAGTCATCATTTCCTATTCGGGTTCTACTCGATGGCCAACTTGCATTTGGTATCAATCACTGAACGATCTCCCTTAAGTGTACGCCTGATCCATCTCTACTTCCTTCGGTGGTTCTTGCCTGTGGTCAGACAGTCTTGGTTGACTCGCCACCTACCAGATTTCCTTGTTACTTATTCTTTCGGATCTCCCATTGTAATCTCCCAGTTCAGTGAATAATCTCGTTGACTTATATATCCAGATGATATAATCCTTCTAGGCGAGGACGTTGACAAACTCCAGCAGTCTTCTGCACACCTTGAGCTGCAATCTACGAATGGTATATTTGGCATGCGATCAGCTGCCGCCAAATGTAAAATAATGTTACAGGACTGAAATACACTGACTCCTAGTTTAGAAGTAGGGGATGAAGTGGTAGAACACGTTGACCGCTTCACTTATTTGGGAAGTACCGTCAGCCAACACCAACGGGTTGATCTCTGACGAAATCTCAGCACGAATACAGGGGCTAGTTTAGCATATGCCAGTTTACGCCGTCTCTGGCTTAGTAGACGTGATATCCGGCTGGCTGGCTATCGACCAAAGGGCGGGTGTACTGCTCACCAGTCCGCTCCGTCCTCCTTTATGGCTGGCTGTGAGCATGACCTGGCCATTGAGAGTGGAAGACATGAAAAGATTAGCTGTCTTTGATCATAAGTGGCTGCGTTCTATCTCCCGTGTGAAGTGTTAGGTATATTGGGGTAATACTGAGGTTAGGCGTCGGTCGAGTGCGAGGTAAGGAGGGGAAAGTCAAGTCAATCGATGAGGCTGTGAAATTACATCGACTGAGATGGTTAGGACATGTGTTGCGTATGCCTAGGCTAGGCATCGCTTTCCTCGACAACAGGAAATGTTAGCTGACATGGGGTCAGGCTGGAAAAAGTTAGCACACGGCGGTCAAGCCAAAACATAGCTTCATCACTCAATGAAATCCACAACAGTCAGTTCGAACCAACCAGCCAGTCACCTAGGAAGGAATAGACTTCCTGACTAGCTGGTTGGGGTCCTCAGGACGGTAAAAACCAATGAAGGCTGGAAACAATTGATGATATGGCTCAAAGTGATCGTTCTCAATGGCTGGCTGGTGCAGATGCATCCACTCTTTGTGATTTATGATTTCCAATGAAACTATATTGTCTCACACCTCTGTTTACAGTCTCTATTATGCATTTCTTCTCTTGCTTTGTGTGCTACATAAAGCAAATTGAATTGCTGCCGCACATCGATGCAAAGTCCTATGTCGAAACAGACAGACAAGCAATAACAACAGTGTGTGTACGTGAACTGATATAAATTATCCAAAAGTTTATCAATATAAGTCCAGAATAACCTTAGAACAGTCTACAGTAAAATGATGATAAACATTGTGAGGAGTAAAAAAAACCAAGCAAACAAACAACCCAAAAGCCAATGAACTTACTGAACAAAAATCCTCAAAGCTAACAGATGTATCGAATGGTGTACTACTATACTTTAAGATTTCTTTGATTATTTTTTTCTCTGCAGGGAAACGTGCTTTTAATGATTCCACGTAAAATTTAAACAGATCAAGTGGAGTGGAACCACGTTGAGCAAGCATTTTATGGAAACGATCATCTCTAAAATGCAAAACAGTAAAAGCGTGCATATAAATAACACAACACACATGTATAGAGCAGTTCAAGAGTACGCGTTATCTACCAAATTGTAGGAGGCTATTAGTGGAATCGAGGATGTGAATGTACCTGTATCCCCCATTGAAATTCGAATCCAGAATGTATTGGCGTTTCACTCACAGTGGTCAGGGAATGCAGGGTATATCCAGCCGACGAGTTCTGAATGAACGAAGTGTGCATCCTGGATTCTACTGTGGACAACTATTATTAACCAAACAACATTACATGTTAACCTTCAGATATTTATCGTTGAACTGCTAGATACTAGGCACTCATGTATCAGCGGAGAACAAACATTGAGGTGTCTAGTATAGCAAATCAATCGATAGGAAATGCAAAATGGATTTCCATAACGTCTTATAGATAAGAATATACATTCAAATCCTATAAAACGTGACTTATCATCCGTACCCAAGAAAATACTTTATATGAGCTTGGAATTCAGAGGGCACTTAGCTTCCAATATCATGAAGGATCGAACAGTCCGTGAAAAGAACATTCCCTGCTGCATTGTTGAGAAGAGCCTTCACAAGTCCACCATTACTGGATCTTGCTGTTGACTAACTCTATGTGTGTTTATCAATTCACCTGCTCGTGTGGAGCTAGGTATATCGGTTGTTCGACTCAAGTTTTCTTCAAGAGGGTGCAAGAACACTATCCTGCCTGGTTGTTGCGACGAGGTGGAAGTGGAGCAATAAGAAGCGCGATCATTGAACATCTGGTCGATTATGATCACCCCATCTCTATAGCCTCCGCCTTTAAAGTCATCTACAAGGCAAAGAGTAATTCACCCACATCTCTACGTACCCGACTCATCTGTATTGCTGAAGCTTTAGCTATCGAAACAGAAAAGCCAGATCTCTGTGAACAGAAAAAGTTCGTTCAACCCCTCCCCTCCAACTTTCATGGACTAAATCCTCAATCATATTTTGGCTCTACCAATTTTTCATTTTGTCTATTCAATTTGTATACTCTTCCTTTATTACGTCGATTGTTACTATTACTATTCTCACTTTGAACTGTCCCCGGTATTATTTCACTTGTTCCCTTATCATTCTAAATCAATTCTTATTTTTTATAACGTTAAATTCTATGCTATCAAATTTCACAGAATATAACGTAACGTTTTATTTTTATTTATTCGATTTGTCTACTAATCCTATAATTGCACACCCCCTTTTCAAATTCTATTCATCCTATGAATTATTCTATATATGACATTAATTTGTTTTGCCACTTTACATTTAACTGTGATTATAATCACAAACATTTTAGTTTTAATTACATTTCATACTATTATTATTATAACTAATATTATTCACAGCTTTGATTCAATTCCCTCACCCTGGATATAACTTCTTAAAAACCATATATATACGACTGTACAACTTGGTGATAAATTCGTTGAAAAGAGTCTCTTCGCTGAATCACCACTTGTTTTGATTTTTTAAATGCGAAATTAATCCTTAACAAATGCACTGTGAATCCTCTACACACAAATATCAACAAGTTAATTGTTATTATTGCTATAAGACGGTTGCAGGCGATCGACAGGAAGCCTCACCTGACCTAGGTTTTGTGCTTGTTGGCACTCACCAGTGCAGTCAGCAAGGCGTATATGCGATTCTGAAAGAACTCATGTCCCTTCTGAGATTCAAACCCATATAGCGCAGTGCTGGCGTCAGAGACGTTATCACTGAGAAATCCAGGACTCGTAATTGACCTCCCTCCTGACCGATGAATACTCTGATTGGATATTAGACAGTAACTGGTGTCAGGCGTCTAGCTTTTTATTAGGGACAGACTCAGAGGGGATATGAGTTCCTCCAAGGCTGCAAGTACGCCTTGTTGACTGCACTGGTGAGTGGAGGAGAGGCTTCCAGTGGCCGATTGCCCCCAACCATCTAATGGGAACAATTCACAGTGACAGCGTGATGGCAAGCCACCTAGTGGCATGGCGGTCACATTGCAAATATGACTGACGATAGGATTCAGTCGGCACCAACACCAAGGATTAGACATGTGACATTAATTACTTACTACCTAGTGTTCCACTAAAGTAATTATTAGTCGTATTGAAACAGGCATTTGCTACATTTTGGGCAACACCAAATACACCACACAAGCAAGTGCGTAATTTGTGAGGAGTGTGGTGCTGTCCGTTCAAAGCAGGCGGTTGGCTTAAGGAGTTACCCACTTCTAGCCCTTTGATCTAAGTCGTCTGATACACAAGGTAGTGGAGCAGCGTCTCCATGGTTACCGGTGGTCAAAACAGGCTCATACACCATTCGATTCGCTCAGAGTGCAGTGTCCACATACACCATCGGTTCAGAATCCGAGTTTTCCAGATCCCCTGCGCACACCAGAATCCCCACCAACCCGACTGTAAGCATCAGACGTTCGAAATCACACCTTCACTTTTGTAAGGAACACCCCGCACCGGTGAAGGTAGTGAGTAGGACCTACACGGCAGAAGCTATTTTTGATTGGATGGTTTAGCTTAAAAGTCTCCATTGTCATAACAGACTTCAAAGTGAAGTAGTATGCGCTGAGGTGAGGATGTTGCCTAGTAGGGCGGGCAATGAGAGCTTCGCAAATCAACCACCATCCAGCTGAGAGGAGAACACAACTACATCAAAAACTTAGTGATTTGTGCTTCAGGTCAGCTAGAACTATGTAACACGATCTACTGTCAATCAATCAATCGATCAACCAATCGTTTATTTGAAGGTCTTGGACGAAAAGAAATTACCATGTCATAAACTCCACTGAACATTGTTCAGAATAAAGCTATTACTATTATTACTATAACCCTATCTAAATGGTTATCTAATAATGATATGACAGAGAAGATTTGTAGCTCAGGTAGCTGATTTTGATGTGGCTGTGTTCTCTGACCTGAATAGTTAATTTGCGAAGCTTTCACCCCCCCCTACTAGGCAACATCTTCAGTGCATACTACTTCAATTTGAAATGAGCTTTTAGATTTCTCCACGAGTTTATTAATCATCTCTCCTGGTAACCTTAAACGTGATTGAGGAATTAGAAACTCAAGTTTATAGAAAATCAAATCACACAGACCAAATCCTGAATTACTACAACAGCAACAATCCAATAACACACAAAAGGAATTGCATACAAGCACTATTCAAGAGAGCCAACCAGCCAGGGCTCATTGCAGCCCTCCCACCTTAAGGAAAATGAAGAAAAATATATCTCATGGGCGCCAGTCTTCCAAAAGAATGGGATATCCACGGAATTTCATCAAAAGACATACCTATCACCAAGACAACCTATCAAACCAAAAGCTCCAACCAAGGAAAGCACAAAGAAAATCGCCTTACCACATATAAAGGATATCTCATAAATCACTACAAGGAAGACGCTTCAAACCTCTAGGAATTGACGTCGTACACAAACCAACAAAGTCACTTCACTCAGCTGGCTCTATGTCAACCAAAAGACTCAACAGCGAGCGAAAGAAGGTAAAACCAACATCATCTAGAAATTAAATTGTAACAACTGCGAAAAACACTACATTGGCCAAAGTGGACGCCCTTACCCTTCGTCTTCGTATCCACGAACATACTAGCCGTCAAAAGACATGATATCCACTCCATTACTCATATCGCCTCACTACATACAGACAACCACAGACATCAATTCGACTGGGACAACGTTCAAATATTAGACAGAGGAAACAACAAGAATGATAGAGAATGGTTTTAGAAGCCTGTCTGGTATTTCAGTGAATCATCAATCAATAGACACATCGAGATAGACAAAATTATCAACCGATAAGAAAGAAACTCACACACAAAAAGTCAAAGTTCAAGTTAAAGAAACAATCAGTTCCAATACAAGTAGCTGCCTAGAAGATGCGAAAACACACAAAAACAACCAATCACGTCCGAGGTGGTCACCAGGAGAGATGATTAATAAACTCGTGGAGAAATCTAAAAGCTCACTTCAACAAATTGAAGTAGTATGCGCTGAAGTGAGGATGTTGCCTAGTAGGGTGATGGAAGCTTTGCAAATTAACTATCCAGCTCAAAGAACGCAACCACATCAAAATGGTTAACTAGTATCACTTCGTAATCTTTGCCAGCTGAAAAAATTTCAAGATTTCAAATGACAATAATAATAATAAATAAGGCACTTACTTGTTTATAATCTGATAAAGATCTTTCCATAAAGAGATAGATGTGAGTAATTTACGTTCACGTAACTCCTCAAGCAGGACTATAAAAGCTTCACGATTTTTACGTTGTTCCCTTTTTTGTTTACGACGTTCACGATCTTTCTCCTCTTCATACTCTTGTTCAAGCATCAACCAAAGACAACTGTGAAGTATCATGATCATTATCACGAATATTCACTTTACCGTCAACTTTATCATTTTCAAACTCTTTAATAACAGAAGTAGACAAATTTGGTTCCTTCTCGCAAATCCTAAAAGGTCTTATAACTTCACTCTGACTAGTAATACCTTGTAAACTTGTAGGGTCAGAACTGCACTCTGAAGCAGTAACTCTATTCTGTGACACTCTATTCAACAATGGCTTACCAGTTGCAACTACAGACTTCTTCACAACAACGTTATCGTCACACAATTCGGAGTCAGGCCTGGAGTTTACATTTAGCTTATCACTGAACTTGCTCACCGGTTCACAGTTCACCTTTGTATGCACCTCTTGCAAACGAGTACAACAAACCGTGTTTGTCTTGCATCTTGTAACCTATCAGTTGAGGATGTATTACGAAACCTGTTACACTCACTAGGTCTATATGCATTACTAGACATCATGGAGCTTTCTCGATAACCACCTCTCTGAGGCCTACTCGTCATCAATGATTGCATTTTGATCTCAGACTGCTCTATTCTAGGGGTGAGATGTAATAGACTGGCGAACTTGCTCATAGATTGATTGACACTAGTATTT